CTAGATGAAATAGGCGTTCCTTCTCCCCTTCCTAGCTGCCATAACACCTGACCTGACCTATCAAGCCTTAGGAATGGAAAGACTTTCATAGATAGCAAGGCCTGAGAAAAGCCATGGCGTTCCCCGACCCAGTCATTCTCTCGAGCCAAGCACTCACCCCACCCTCTTTCTGCTGCTGCATCACTGCCTTAGCCACATCTTCCTACTGCTGCAGAGCCCCGGTTTGGCTTTTCATTCCTGGCAGTTGGTAGACTACCCAGGAATTTCAAACGCTCTGTTCTCTTCCCCCTTTCACCTTTTTTTTTTTGCTCTGAAAAGCCTATTGATCCAGGAAAAGGCATGTCTTTGAGAGGTGTCTCCTAGAGGCAGAGGATGCCACTCTTCTTGTGATACCCTCTCTGATCATTCTTCAGGGGACTTTACCAATGGGGCAAAGACCTTCTCCGTCATCCAAAGTACTTTAGTACCCAAAATGTCTAAGGCCACCATAAAAGCTTTTACTCGGTCACCTTTTACTCTTTAAAGTTGCCATTTCCCTATCTCAATCCATTTCCTCTTAGCCACCAACTTTACTTCTCCTTCCTTAAAAGGTCCTTGTTCCTCAGAGCTATTGTTGTCAGGTGCCATCGAGTCAGAACAGACTCATAGCAACCCCATGCACAGCAGAACGAAACAATGTCCGATCCTGGGCCAACCTCACTACCGCTGTCACACTTGACGCCATCAATGATGCCACCTGGCTGATCCATCTCGTTGGGGGTCTTCCTCTTTTTCTCTGACCCTCCATCTTACCCAGCATGACATCCTTCTCCAGCATGACATCCCTCCTGACAATATGTCCAAAGTATGAGAGACAAAGCTTAGCCATCCTGGCCTCCAAGGAATACACTTCTTCCAGCCTCAGAGCTGAGAGGCTGACCTAAATAAAGCCAATTTCCCATTCAGACGTCACTTCTAAAATAGGGTCATAAGGAAGGCAAAACTGGGACCCTCTTTCACTAACCTGGTTCTCAAACAGGATTCGGGGCATTGGATAACTTCCTCTAGTAAATAAACTTCTGCAATGAAACTGTTGCTAAGAGGCAGCTGAGCACCTTGAAATTTAATTTATTGCAGTCATTGTGAAGTGTACCTGCTTTCCCGGGTACTGAAGTATCGGAATTGAAGGTGGGCCCTTTAGCCCTCTCCTCCCTCTCACCTTGTCAGCTTCCTCCCTTCTCTGCTCAAAGTAGTTATTCTAACTTGACTGAGGCTGAATCTGCCACCAGTGCTTAGTGAATCATCCACATAAATCTACTAGCACATGTACTAAGCAGCCACAAGCTTGCTCCAGTCTTCTAGTTCTATTGTCAGAGAAAAGCAGTACAGCTGGAACCTGTTTATGAACAGGGCTCTGGGGAAGGAAGAGCCAATCTGATTCTCTGTAATCCAAGGAGCTTCCCAGGCAGTTCCCTTCCCCGACATTTGTCTGGACAATGGGCAGCTCTTCTGAAGTAGAACTGTTCCGATGCTAGACAACCCCAGGGCAGGTGCAGAGGAGGTATACTTCCAAGTTGCTACCAGGGCTGAGACTCTAAGACCTGTATGTAAGAGGAGAAGTGTTCCCATACCCCAAACTGAGACAACAGTCAGAAGCCAGGCCCCTGGCCACACCTGTACCCATTTTCCCAACCTCTGAACACTTACTGAGGAGAGGGGATATATCCTTACAAGGGCTATACTTCCCTCCAGGGTCTCCTCCTGCCTATCAGCAAAAAACCAGCTCTATCAGCAAAAAACCCCTTTGCTCCGAGCCTCCTGAATCCCCCAATTTGCCCTTCTCGCCTAATCAAGCAGCAGTATATACTAACCTAGCTGTCCCACTTGGCTGGCTGTATTATTGCTCCTCGGAAACCTATATAGAGTCTCTACGAGTCAGAACCGACTCACCAGCACTTAACAACAATATAGGAAAATAGTCTGATCAGAAAGTCCTGTGTCTTAAAGCAAAAGCTGCATTCTCCAGGAGGCCTCTCAGCATAGAAGGAAGGAAACTATTGGACTCCATTTTGATAACTCTAGGCCAGTATTCTAAACACATCACACTGCCAGATTGTTCTTTAATAGGTTATTGTTTTGTATTGCAAAATGAATATGATTGATACCAGATACAAGATTCTTTTAATTTCCATAAACAAAGCATTACTGAGTACATTAAATCTGTATTGCATTTTCCCCTTTTGCATTATCAATTCATTCATGTCTTCATTCAGCAAACAGAGTGGAGAAGAGTAGAAACAGGGGTGAAGGCCACACAGGTACGGGTTCTGCGTTCATGAAGGCGAGGCTGGGATCTATCCATAATTGCGGGCTATGTGCAGAGAACTCCAGAACAGCTGCTTAAGACATCTAGAGATCAGCTAGTCAAATGTTTGGTTTTACAGATTTAAACACATCAGAAAAAGATGAACAGCTTGTTCTGTCCATTAGTAAGTGACCGTGTGGTGAGTGCGGCGCGTAGGCCCTTCCCTCTTAGTGAGCTCTTTAGGAGCCCATCTGTTTAACTAGAGGACAGAGGAAGAGGGGGTCCTGAGAAGTGATAAGGACACTGGTTGGGGTGGACAAAACACTGTCTCCTTCCTGTCCCTGGCCCGGCTTTCTTTTTTTTTGAAAGAATCCCAGCCTAAACTGGCCTTAGCAGCAGGTTAGGGCAAAGACAGAGACGGGGTCGTCCTCAGCGCTGGTGGCGCTGGTGGTGGTGGGAGGGGAGGGCAGGCCAGGGCACTCGCCTATTGTGGGTCTGGATTGGTTGCTTCCACTCATTCATTTCCTTTTAATTAACCCGCATTCCTGAAGGAGAAATATTTATGTTGGCTCCCATAGAGGCAATCTTCAGACTGGAAAGAAGGGGAAGAAAGCCTGCCTTAGCAAAACAATATCTCTAAAGAGCTCAAGGAGAGAAAATAAGGGAACAAAATGCCATTAAAATAGCCTTCTACCCCCACTGGAGTCAATGAAAACTTCATTTCACATGCTAATCCCCCACTCCGCCCCCTGGTCTTCTCACAACACCTTTTCGGAAAGTGTTTGGGAAAAGTCTCCGCAGTCAGTACACAGCTCCCTGCAGCTCAGACTTCTCCTTGTGTTAGTTCAGGGCCCCAAGTGGGGCTCTCGCTCCAGCAGCGGCTTTTTTCTACCCCCCTTTAATTTAAACAAAGACTTCGGAGTTCATCAACCTCCCACTGAAATTCACAGCTGCTGAACAAACTAATCCCCTCTCCGGGCCTTTCTTCCCTTCAATGGGTTCTTGGCTTCAAAGACACTTTGGGAAAGGACTTTGCTGGGGCTCACACTGCTTCATCAATAGAAGTTAGTGCAAGTATTATCTGAAGAGCAAGTGGCTTTACAAACAAATACTGCCTAACAATCCCTCCCTCCCAAACATACACATCTAGCCTGCAGACACCATGGGATCTGCAACAGGATTAGGGCTAGTAGCCCCTGGCTTCACACCCAGTCCCTTTGTGCAGCTGAGCTCAGGCCTGAAGTGGTGTGGGGAAGCCCTGGAGCTGCATGCCAGGCACGGATGAACATGTACACATGCAGCACAGTGGTCACAAATGCTGCCAGGAGAGAGACTTGGGACCTAATTCACTTCGACGGCACACCACCTTTCTTCAAGTCTCTTGACTCCTTATCTTTCCCCCAAACTCTCCTCTGAAATATGAGGGTGCAGGCAACAGGAACAGAAGTAAAACAGGGCCCAGAGGAAACCAAATCAAAGCAGCTGTATTATACCATTAAACCCATCAGCGCATCAAGTGCAGAGTCCAACCACGAAAGTGCAGCCAGGGAAGGTAGCCCTGAGATACGGGGGTAGCTGAGGGGGAGAAAGCCCCAACCTTTGAAGAAAGTGCTGGAAGAGTCTTCTGTTAATATGGCTCCTATTCCAGAATGGGGTTTACAGTCCCAGAATGAATGGTACTGTAGGGCCTTGGGCAAGGTCCCAAACACAGGTACACAGGTGGAGGTGGAATCAGGGACCAGCCTTCATGGGTTATAGCCCCTCTGCTCTTATCTCACAGACTAAGGCAGCTCCCTGGTTATACCTCCCACCTGACCTGTTGTTAAGTGCCATTGCGAATCGATTCTGACCCATAGTGACCCTGTATAGGGTTTCCAAGGAGCAGCTTTTGAGCTTGAACCGCCGACCTTTCAGTTCAAATGGCTTTGCAGTCTGGCGCATTAACCCACAATGCCACACCAGGATTCCTATTGTTGTTATTAAGTGCCGTTGAATTGGTTCTGACCCATAGCGACCCTGCATAGGGTTTCCAAGGAGCGACTGGTAAGCTTGAACCACCGACCTTGTAGTTCAAAGGGCTTTGCAGTCTGGCGCATTAACTCACAGCGCCACACCAGGACTCCACCAGGACACCTAGTCCACCCTAAATTAAGCTGGAAGAGGAACAGTTCCACTGAAAAAAGTAGCTCTCAGTCCTGCTCAGCATGATTTCATCCTCCTCAGCTCCATGACTCCATAAGTCAACTCCTCCAAGTCCCTGGAGCTACAGAGAGATGTGGACCTGGGACTAGGAGGTCAGAGGCAGGTAGAGGGTAAAATCAGGCTCAGAGCCCACAGAAGGGTGAAAACAAGACCCATAAGATGAGTACAGCAGAGGTAGACTTGGAAATAATGATCCCGTTCACCTTCTCAGAAGGCACCTAAACAGGATACCCGTGAGACAGAAAAGATCCTGATCTAGGTTCCATCAGATTGTGATACTAAGAAAGTGAAGAACTGGCCCTAGACTCTGCCTCTGTGGCTGTTAGAAGCTTAGGCAGATTCTAAGCAAGGCAGAAAGGGGTCTCAGGTAGGCACTCAACTGGTTTGGAGCCAAGCATCTAGCATCATGTATCTGCCAGGCAGGGAAGAGGGTTGGGAAAAGAAACAGAATCTGTTCTGAAATCCCTTCTTTCTTAGTGGAGAAGTTACATAGCAGTGGACGTGGCCACCTGGCTCAGCCCTGCAGCCTCTGAGCAATGGTGAGGACAGCCTTCAGGATAGGCATGAAGCTGGACACCTCGCTGAAGCTGCTGTAGGCCACCACCTGGGCATGCACTGCGAGGCCCTGTTCAAAGCTTCCTGCATCCACACACCGGGCCACCTCGTGGAGCCCAGCCAGGACCTGAGGCGAGAGCTGTGGAGAGATTGACACGGGATTAGTCAACCCAACCCAGCCCCTACCCTGGCAGCATGGAAGGAACAGGAGGGGACTCAAGTTCTGGAGCCCAAACCAGCCAAGATGTATTTTGGGTCAGTGAGGCATATGGGAAGAGAAGACGCTGGGAACCTTGTCCATGGGTCATGGTGGAAGGGCAGGAGGCAGAGGTACATCATCAGTATACTTACCGTCCCCTCCCATAGTTTCTCATATAGACGTTCTAGACGTTTGGCTGCCTCATTCAACTTCCGTTTTGTTTTCTGCAGGGAAAGAAATGGATTCGAACCCCAGTCTCCAAGTCTAATACTAGACAGGAATACAAAGAGTCACAAGACGTTAGCACTAGAAGGGTTTAATGCTACCTCCTTCATTTCACAGAGGAGGAGGTAGAGGTCTGAAGACAGTAGGTAACTTGCTCCCATTCAGCGAGAGTGAACGAATGACAGGCTTCCTTACTCCTAGCTTTGCTGCCTGCCATTACCCCCTGCTGCCTTCCTAAGAGTTAAATCTCGCTATGATTAGATCCTGTTGCCACTGAGCTGGACATCACACCAGATTCCAAACTCCTCTCCATGATATCAAATAAGTATAACATACAGACAGGGTAGGTCCACAGGCAGTGAGAAGAGTCCACAGCTGAGGGGTCCCGGAACCCGCTCAGGGTGTACGCAGCTGACACTTACTGAGTCCGTGGCAGACAGGGAGCAGCGCTGCAGAAGTGTGTCGAAGCTGGTTTTCAAGGACTGATGTTCTGGAGGCAGTTCTTTCTTCCCTATCTTCCGAGGTGACAGTTGCTGATGAAGGAGCAGGGAGAGAGGCTAGACAGGCAAGCTGTCCTTGGCATGGCATCCCTAGGGACTAATTTCAGGGACTCAAGAGTCACACTGCTCCCACTAGAGCAGAACTGGGGACAGCATCCTCCCCTTCTCAGCAGTAAATACACCTGGTCCCTAACCCCCAGTCAACTTCAGTTCAGACTGCCTCTAACTTGAGGAACGAGGCCCATTTTGCATGTTCCCTACACCCAAAATGGTCTGGAAGGTTTCCCGGGGGGGGTTGGGGGGGGGTTGGTTCACACTGTCCCTGTCACCTGCAGGTTGATCTCTCCTGGAGCCCCGGGGAGAGCACGGCCAGGGACAGAGGGAAGTGAGGAAAGACCCCCTTGTGGCTCAGGGATGAGGCTCATAACTGGAGCAGTAATTGGTGTTGGAGGCATAAATATCTCTGGCAACTAAAGAGAGACAAAGAAAGAAACATGAGTCTTTGCTGAAGAGACTCCTTGGGGGCATGGCAGGCATTCTGAGAGAGAAGAAGGACAGAATCATGAGGGGAAATGGGAGGACTGATGTGTACATGGGAGAGGGAGAAGAGAAAGAACAGAGTGGATGCCCGAGAGTGGAAAGGAATGGGCTGAATTCAGTCACTGGAAAATGTATGAGTAGAGCTGGTGGCGGGGCAGGGGACGTAGGGTTGATGCATTGACCTTGTGACTCTGGAGGGTCCCCCTGGGAGCTGACAGATCTTTCCAGGGATGTTGAGAGCCTGAAGGGTAAAAGAGATAGAGGCATTTATAGGCACATTGGAAATTTTGGCCCAAAGGTCAATAGAATATTCTAGTTGGATTTCACTGTTTCTTCCTCTACAGGCCAGCCACACTCCCATTTGATATTCTCCAGCCCAGTCATTGGCTTGAGGAGAAAGACTCTCAGGGGAAGTGGGGAAGGAGAGCGAGGCCCTGACTCAAAAGAGAAAAGCCACTGATGGAAGACTGACCTGGGTGAGGAGTGAAGATGCCGGTGGTTGGGAGGGCAGTAGAACACGGAACACCCAGTCCTCCTGGAGGGTATGGTGCAGGGAGGCTCACAGGAGGGGCTGGGGGCTGGGAGCTCACAGGAGGCATTCGCGGAGTCTCAGGCAGGAAAGTAGAGCCAGGCTGTGTGATGCCTGGGGGTGCTGTGGGTGGAGGGTGACCAGGAAGAAGCCACATTCCAGGGAGTCCCACAGGGTTAGGAGTTTGAGTCCTTTGTCCTCCTAAGAGTTGTGGCTGCAATAGAACTGGAGTGGAGTAGAAAGAGTAGGTCATGTGCCACTCCACTTCACACTGGGAGAGAGCCAGAGGCACATCAGGAAGGCCAGGCCAGGAGGAATAAAGAAATAACACAGGCTTCATTTCATACATGTGCACAGAGATCTACACTGACAAAAATCAGTTTAACTACATTCCTATTTGACTCTCAAAACAATCCTGTGGGGTTGAAATGACACACAAATCAGTATTCTCATTTTACAAAAGAAACAGTGGCTAAGTCAAGTGCCCATGGCCACGCTAGTGCTGGGATCCTTGACTTTGATTTTTAAGTTCCTGTCACTGCAATAACGCACTACGTCCCAGATCCCTGCTGGCCAGGCCGATTGCTTCCCTGAGGACCCTGTAATCTGCCCAGACAGGTCATCAGTCCCCTTGCTCACTCACCGGGCTGGCCAACAGGAGGCCCAGGTGCTCTGCTGTCATTTAGACTCTGAGCTCTGGAACCCTGAGAAGGGCTTGGATGGGGGGCAGGTGGCAAGGGCATCACTGGTACTGACTGAGGAGTGAAAAGCCTTGGTCTTGGAGGTAACGTTGAGACCTGTAAAGATAGCAAAGGACCACCTTTTAGGAAAAGCAAAGGAAACAACTGAAAATAGGCAATTAATGAAAGGAAAGCTCTTTCTTTGGGGAAAAATATAAAACTTATAAAGATTGACAAAGATTAAAACAGAAAAGATAACCAAAAATTCCATTGCTGTTTAGCCGATTCAACTCAACAGTTAGAGGAGAACTGCCCCATACGACTTCCAAGGCTGCGCTCTGCACAGAAACAGAATGTCTCATTTTTATTCTGCCAAGAGACTGACATTTCACTTAGCAGTCAAACCTTCACTGTGCTACCATGGCTCCACAGAAAAGACACGAATCATCAAATATCAGGAATGAAATTAGGATTATTCATAACAGACCCTGCAGCCTTTAACGTTAATAAACGAATACAGCAAACAACTTGACACTCATTTTGTTTTCAGTTCAGCAACAGACCAATCTCTTAGAAACTATAAACTAGTAAAACTCAGCCAAGCTGATAGATAACCTGAAGAGTCTTGTAACTCATAAAGAAATTGAAGTTGTAATTAAAAATCACCATTAATTAATTAATTAAACAAACAAATCTTCATGTCCAGATGGTTTCACTGGAGAACTTTACCAAACATTCAAAGAATTAATACCAATTTTAAACAGTCTCTTCCAAAATTAGAATAAGAGGGTACACATCCTGTGATGTTAATCTCATGTGTCAACTTTGCTAAGCCTATAGTGTCTGTTTGGTCAAATACTAGTTGCTGTTATGAAGTACTACATGTGAATAAATCAATCAGCCTTAAGTGAAACTGATGATCCTCCACAGTGTGGGGTAAACCTCATCCAATTATTTGAAGGCCTGAAGAACAAGAAAGAGCTTCCCCTCCGGTAGATTCTGCCCTCCACACTATACACAGATGTCTTGCCAGAACGCCTCCACTCTTCCTGTCACCTGACTTATGAACTCTGGGACACAAGACTGAAGGAATCTCCAGTCTGCTGCCTGATTTTAGACGTGTCGACTCTCACAATGAGTCGGTTCCTCAAAGTCAATCTCAATTTCTCTCTCTCTGAGTGAGTGTGTATTTTACTGGTTCTGGTGTGACACTATAGGATAAGTACTGGAAGATCAGCAGTTCAAATCCACCAGTCGCAGCTCGAAAACCCTGTGCAGGGTCACTACAAGTTAGAACCGACTCAACAGCATTTAACAACAACAATAATTCCTCTAGAAAGCCTTAAGAAACTTTCTGACTCATTTTATGAGGCCGCTCCTTGGAAACCCAATAAAGGGTCGCTATGAGTCAGAACTGACTTGCCGGCACTTTACAACATCAACAGCGTTATCCTGATACCAAAATTAGACAATGACAGCATAAAATAAAACTACAGACAAATAGCGCATGTGAATTTAGATCCCCAAATCCCCAACAAAACTTTAACAAATCAAATCCAACAATATATATAAAATCATACTCATTTTGAAACATTCCCTGAATTGCCTACACTTCCCGCCCACACACGCACGCACACATCCACACAGTGAATTGCTTACTTGTGTGTGATCCCATGACACCTTGTCATACTGCAATCATGGCATTTGTAAGTTTTACTATAGTCGGTTTTTACATGTGTGGCACTGTAGGATAAGCACTGGACTCAGAACCACAATGTTGGCAGTTCAAACTCACCAGCTGCTCCTCGGAAGCTCTATACAGGGTCGCTATGAGTCAGAATTAACTCGACGGCACTTAACAACATCTTTCCACTAGACTGAGCTACTTCAGGAAAAGCACCATGGTTTATGCACTTTACTATTCTAAGAGCATAACAGTTGTTCAATAAAGTTATTAAACATTGAATCTATGCTCTATAAGATCAGGAATTTTTGTCAGTTTTGCCATGAAAATACTCCAATGCCTAGAACCATGTCTGGCACATGGTCGGCACTTAATAACTATTTTTTAATTGGTGAACAAATAAATAAACAAGTATTACCTTCTGAGAAGGCTGAAATCCTAATCTGTAAGATGATGTCTCTTTAGAATGAGGGGGAGCTCCCACCACAATGCGGGGGAAAGGAAAAGGGGGACACTGTTGGCCTAAGACACCAGAGTCTTGGGCATGAAAAAGCCGATCTCTCAGCTGCTGAACTGATGCCTGCAAGAGTTGCAATAAAGAACTGTATTAAAGTCAAATTAAAACAAGCAAGCCATCCTCTTACCAGCCTGGCCCCTTGTAGCGGTCAGACTTCAGCTGACATTTTACACTCTAGTCACCTTAGATGACTCCAAGTCCCCTAAACCCTGCCAAGCACTTGCACAACTTCCTCCTTGCTGTTTTGTTTGGCATGCTCTATATCTGCTGGTAAACTACGTCCCTTTGAAGGGCCAGGTCCACTATTTTAACCTTGACTCATCCGGGCAAAATCAGTCCCTACCCTGAAGTCTCATGGGGTTTGTACAAACTTCTGTTCTTCCCCCAATAGTGAGCTGCTTTTGAGGGACCAGAAGTCATTTATCTTGCAAGTTTCTGCATTTAGCACAGTGCCTAGTACTCGGTGGGTACTCAGCCAGTGTGAGATGACAGACTGAAATGGTTTCTTCTCTCCACAGGGCCCCACTCACCTCAGCACAATCACTGGGGAGGTAGCTCATGGCAGTGGCCAGGCTGCCCTGGGATGCCAACAGGTTGGCATACAGAAGGACGGTGTGAGCTATGGCACAGCCTGGGCTTACTCTATCAGGAGCCAGGAATCCCTGCAAGCTCCTGCTGAGGACCATCACCTTCTCCATCAGATCCTACAGGGGCAAAGGTGAGGGGGTTCAGGGCTTTTCACAGCACAGCCTGCCTTCGAAGCCCACGCAGCTTCCCCAGAGGTTTCCCACCGTAGGTAGAGCTGAGAGCAGCGTTTTCGGTCCATAGCCAGGTGGCAGCAGCAAGCAAAGAGAAGGGCCACTTGGCCTCACCTCCAAAGTTGTTTGGCATGGCCTTCACTGGACTGAGCTGGATCGTAGGCTTTTATTCGTCTTTGCCTCCTCTGTTTGCTTTGTTTAGCCCTTCTCCCATTGCATCATCAATGATACGCTCTTATCCCATTGTTTCATGTGTGACTTTTGCCTCATCATCAGCCTGTCACTCACCTTCTCTGGTTACCTACAGATTGCCTTGTGCAGGATCCATCCACAGAACTTTTCACACCAGCTAATAGAAGGGTCAAACTCATAATTACTCAAATACAGAACGAACCTATATAACTAAACCTGGATTGGGATGAAATTCTCAAGGTTAATACCCAAGCAGTTGTTGCTGTGCTCTCCTGACTGTGAAGGAGAAGGGGAGATAGATGATATCTCACCCTTGGAAGGAGGTCCCAAGCACTGAGATTCCTTCTCTTCCCCTAAAATCCTGGCCCCAGCAGCACTGGGAGAGGCTTCTGGCATACTGCATACCCACTAGCCTCTCCCAACGGCCTGGTATGGAATGACCAGTACCCTGTTCAGAGGGGTACCTGCAATGCCATGGGGGACGTGGCCTGGTGACATTTTGCCCAGGACCCCACCAGTCGCTCCACACTCCCTGAGCACACATAACAGAGTCTGGCCTTGAAGATTAATGCCTTGCCACCCTCATGCTCCATTCGCGTTCCCAGCAGGTCTGCGGAGAGATGGACACTTCATTAATGGCACAGCGTCCCTGGACTCTTCTTCCTGTCTCCTGCTTGGAAATAGGTGAGGAGCCTGAGCGAGAGGCATGGCTACAGTGACTGACTGACAAGGCTACTCCTGGGTACTGAAGGGTAAAGTGCTTGAATCAAGTTGTGACAGGAAAAAGTAAGAGGACAATAGATGCTCCGGTCCTGACAACACGGCCTGGCCTCCCAGAGCACAGACTTCTACTCCACCTCACCCCTCACTGAGTCCATTGACAAAGGAGCTCATACGGCTCCATCCAAAAACTCGGGTGGCAGCAGGGCCATACCTACCACAGAGCTCAGGGAGCTCCTCTGGCCCTGAGTACGTCAGCAGCAAGGCCAGCACCTCCCTCCAGTTCTGCAGGCCACAGGCAGACACCACGTCCTTCAAATTCTTCTGCACAACACAGGCTAGAAGCTTTACCAGAGGGTAGAGAGAGCAGGAGACCATCCGTCATCATCCACACAGACAACAGGAGCCATGCCCAGGGGTGTGTCCACATGAGTTGCTCATAAACGAGTTTCCTCTGAGAGCACTGACCAGGGCCAGAGGGAGGGGCAGTGGTGGTCAAAGTGGACGCGAGAGACTCTAAACACCATTCCCAAGGGGTGGCCACCTACCTGACAAGGTCCAACTAATCCTCTCCCCTCCCCTCCTCTCCTGTGTGGTAGGCAATTACCGGGGAGATTCTGTTTCTTTTCTTGGCCAAGTAGCACTCCTGTGTTTTCTTCAGCAGCTCTGCACCCCCAGCCTGGGCCAGGATGATAGCATCAGCAAAGCGCTCTTCCTTCAGACACAGTTCCACAGCGGGGCCCAGTTCCCCTAGCAGGAGAGCCTGGCTCAGGAGTCCATCAGCATCTGCAAGCCGACATAGGCCTTCCCCTTCAGATCTGTTCCTGTCCGCTACATCATACCTCCCATACCGCTGTATCACTCAGCTTCTCTTAGCCCCCAGATCCCTGATGTCTGTTCCTCAGCAATAGAACCAGGGGTGACCAGGGCCAGTAGGAATGCTTTTAAGGACAGGGCCCAAGATCAGGGAAGGAATTCATGCAGCAATATCATGGGTATGATGTGTACATGTTCAACAAGGGCAAGACCACAGTCTTTTAAGAATGATGATAAAAAGGGTAGAAAAAAATCTCCCATAGAAGGACTCATTCTTGAAAATTTATAGCCAGGGAGAAAGCTCTAAGCTTTGAGAGGATACGGAGGAGGCAGGGAAAAGGAAGGGGAACTCTTCACATCAGGAACTTTGGGCCCACCTACTTCCAAGCAGAGGGCTCCTTCTCCCCAGGGGGAGGGTACCTTCTGTGATGGGAATCTCCCATGGAGTTATGTTCTGAGGGACCAGTTCATCAAAGAAGGCTGAGGAGGCAGAAGTTCCCTCTGTGGTATGTTTGGAGGTCTGTACAGGGAAGGATAGAGGTGACGATTTAGGAATTGAACTTAGAAGTGAGATAGTTGACTTAGTGCCTAGCTCTGAAAGCTCTCCTATTGGGTCCTTAAGGCAGAGCTGAGGAATGATCAGGCAAGGTGACTTTGGAAAGATCCTAGTTCATGGTTAACACACAGCTAAAAGCTTATGGACTCTTGTGTCTCACTCAGGTTCCAAGAGAGATCTGAGGAGCTTGAGGATTTCTGCCAAAGCTGAGTACTTGTTAAAGTCAAAGCAAATGTCCAGGAGGGTAAAGATGTGCTAAAGGGAGGTCTCCTGTGCTCCCACCGTACCTGGCTGCAAAAGGTTTGTTGCCTGGTACTATTGAAATCACTTCCCTTGGGCTGAGGGCTGTTACTCTTCAACCACGTAGCCACCTGCCAGGAGAGACACCTGTGAGTCCCACCCCCCAGCATAAAATCAAACCTGCATTATTCTCTCTTCCCATATCCATATCCCATCACCCAGACTCACTAAGATCCTTGAGCTATTTTCAGAGGGGAAACATCCTGACCCCCGGGAGACCAAGTGATGGAGCATGCAGGGAGACATATTCAGAAACTGTCTTCTTGACAGGGTTCTCTTACTCTCTGCTTCCAGTTTCTGATGTGGCGAGGAGCTTACCTTCTTCTGAAGCTCATCTGTACTGTATCCTAACAGCGTCAGGAATTTCACTCTGGAGTCTTGCTCTAAGCTCACCTAAGTAATCACAGACATAGAAACATCTCATTGAGATGATGTGAGTGAGCCTCCTCCCACACCGAACCAGTGCTATCTTGTACCCTCAAATGCAGTTCTCTGTACTCCCGGAAGTGACCCTGTTGGGGTCAGCACCGTCTCTTTTCTTCCCCTACTCTGATTCACTGCTGGGCTGCGGGCAAAGTATGAACAAAACCCTATCCATATCTGCATGAGCACTTGAGCTTCAGTCAGCATCCTGATAACCAGATAAAAGTCACAGGTCACATTTCCAGGCACATTGTTGAGGCTGCTAAATTGCCTCTGCACTGGAAGGAATAATGAATAGACTACCAAACACTGATGGGGACACGAGACACTGGCTTCTGTGGGACATGAGGCTCCTAAATCAGGGCAGCTTATGTACCTGCTCAACACACTTCTCATCTCCTTGAGGAGCTGATTTCTGGAGAGCTGAAGAACTCTTGGACGATGGGTGATGTGAATTGCTGCAAGAGCTCCCATGGGAGGGACTGCCATACGCTGCCCTGCTGACACTCCGTGCTTCCTGTCCCATAGACACGTGTACCCTCTGGCAGTTGTGTGAGTCTAAATGTCTAGCTGAGAAGACCCCTGGATATAGTGGCATTCATACATTAAACTGAGTCATCTTGCCTACTTGGTGTCTTATAGAGTCAAGTCTTCCTGTTGTTGTTGTTAAGTGCCATCAAGTCAGTTTCGACTCATAACAAGCCTGTCTGGGTTTGCAAGGAGCTCTGGTAGCGTAGTGGTTACGAATTGGGTTGTGAACCTCAAGGTCAGTAGTTCGAAACTACCAGGTGTTCTGCGGGAGAAAGATGAGGCTTTCTGCTCCTGTAAAGATTTACAGCCTCGGAAACCCTGTACAGGGTCGCTATGAGTTGGAACTGACTCCACAGCAAATAACCACTACCACCATAGGGTTTGCAAGGAGTGACTGTTAGGTGTGAACCACTGATCTTGGAGTCAGAAGTCCAGTGCTTATCCTAGAGTGCCACACTAGGACTCTAGCCTTCCTTTAGCCCTCCCTAGCGTAGTGGTTACGAATTGGGTTGCGAACCTTACTGTCAGCGGTTCGAAACTACCAGCCGCTCCGCGGGAGAAAGATGAGGCTTTCTACTCCCGTAAAGATTTACACCCTTGGAAACCCTGTACAGGGTCGCTATGGGTCGGAACCGACTCGACGGCACTTAACAACAACAACAATGTGGGTTAGCTAGCCTGGCCCGTTCATTAATACTGCAGTGAACACTGACCTCTGACCTCTGACTATGGTCTTTCTCATAGCCACTCATTCGTGCTCTGCCTTTGGACATTCTTCCACACTCAACTAGCATGATGGACAGCTCTTGGGGAGATTTTAAGCCAGATTCCCATCAGGCCTGTAGGCATCCCCGGCTCCCTTATTCAGCAGAGTGAAGGTGGAGTTCCTGATCACTCCTCTATCCTTTCCACTCCTGGTGCTATCTAGCCCCTGTGGCTTGCTTGTAGCACAAGCAGCATTATCACTCTTTTCTGCCCACAGCTCTCTCTAGCTTCACGCTAGAGTTGATGATCTTGCTCAAATCCTCTTCTCCTTCCAGCTCCCTGGTGTCTACTCTCACAGAGTCCTACTATGTCTGAAGCACAGATACAAGTCCTTCTCAGACCCCTAGGGACTGGTCCTGTCTGATTTTTTTCTTCTCTATAAGCACCAGGATTTGAATAATTCTTCCACTCCCATTTCCAGTCAACTACTTCTCTTCTTCCAGCTCTCTCCTCTCAGATGCTCATTTCCTCTCCCAGGTACAGCACTCCTCCACGTGTTATAACTTAGAATGGAACTAAATCCAGGCCTCTAGAGTACTGCTGACCCTCCAGATCTTGAAGGATTCAACCAACCATGGATGGAACAGATTTGGGGAGGGAAAAAAGCAATTAAGTGGTCAAAGCAATCCCTTAAAAGCTAAGAGGGAGCTAAATGCTATTTATACAGCATATACATTATATTAGGTATACAAGAAATCTAGAGAGATGATTTAAAGTATATGGAGGATGTACAGAGGTTATATGCAAATACTATGCCACTTGATATAGGGGACTTGAGCATTTGTGAATTTGGGTATCCACAGGGATCCTGGAACCAATGCCCCGTGGATACTGAGAGATGACTATACAGGGGCCCTGAATCCTGGGCGCCGAGCGGAATCACAATGACTGGCTTTGGGCTACTCAAAACAGACTCAGAGCCTGCTCATAACGATGTACCCTTCCCATCAGTCCTCTTGCTTTTCTATCCACCCACGATCTGCCCTTTGCCGTGACACTGTAAAAGACTTCACCTTGGCTCTGGTGAAGTATCCAGGACATCAGCAATAGTAGCTACAAAGGAAATCATCCCTTATTGTCGCCACATTTCCTACCCACTTCAACAATAGTCTTTGGGCCTCTGGTAAAGGGTAAAGGTTTTGTGTCCAGAGGATGTGGTGTAGGAAAAAGACAAATAAGGGCTGGAGCTCGGGTAATTTGGGCCACAGCGTGCTTATGTGTGCCCTGGATTTGACCCAGGCTAGGTCATAAGACTTGGGTTCCAGGCTTTGGGGAAATAATTCTGAGCTGCCAGCCTTCAGGCTTCGTACCTTCAGAAACTGCCAGAGCATTTCTTCACTTTGCGGTGAAGTTTGCTGGATCTTGTTCTGACAATAATTCAGGAGACTTCCTGATCTCAGGGCTGCCTGCAGCTCAGCTGACCTCATCAGGAATTCGGATTCTGTGGTGACTTGACTGATGAAGACTAGGCGGGGGCAAGGCTGAGACAACTGATGGGCAGGTGTGCTGGGAAGGCCAAAGGTAGCCAGCTTCCCCCCAAACTGGTAAGGAAAAATAATAAAGAAGGGCAAAGGTCATACCTTCAAGGCAAAAACAAACTCCAAGTGAGGATCATAGGGAAGGTTAGCTGTCAGGCAATCCCAGGAGAACTCCTAAAGGTGGAACAGGCTCATGACCAGAGTACTGAAGCGTACTGAATGTGCCCTTCTGCCAAAGCCCTCTACATTCATAGCACCACGTGTTCCTCTGGCTCCCACCATTCTCCCAGTCATCAGATCTTTATATACTCATTCATAACCAAGCAACAACAAAGTCTTCTCTTTTCTTCTGGTTTACTATGTCTCTCATGAAGATCCCTCCATTCCATTCCCAGCACTGGCACACCTACATTACTGGAATAATGTTAGCCAGTGTTTTCCTCTCCTTTAATCCAAGCCTGGACTCCTGGTGTGGCACTGTAGGGTCAGCACTGGACTGCGAACCACAAGGTCAGCAGTTCAAATGCACCAGCTAGCTACTCCTCGGAAACCCTATACAGGGTTGCTATGAGTCGGAACCAACTCAATGGCACTTAACAACAACAATCTTAGACTATCACCCCATGTCTGTTGCTGCACAGCAGTGTGTAATGGTTTCATGTAGCCCTAGGAGACATTTTAAGTTCCACTGCCTCTGAAGGACTAAATCCTCCCAAATCAGGATCAAAACTGTCTCTCTCAGCAGCTCTCTCCCTATTCATCTGTGTGATCTTTCCACATCCCCAAAATGCTTGGATCACTCCTACTTCTGTGCCTTTGCCCACTGCTACACCCTCCAAGCATCAGCCTTCCCATCAAATTAGATATTTCATAAGATCACATGCCACAAACTAGGAGCTCAAGTTCCTTCACTCCAGCAATCCTCATTAAACTCATCCGGAGAGCTTTTAAGAAACTGATATTCAGAGTTACCAGGCCAGAACGCAGACAGTAAAGCCAGGATCTCAGATGGGAAGAACCAGACGTCAGTATTTTTTAAAGCTCTTCAGATGATTCCAGTGTGCAGCCAAGGTTGACAACTATTACTCCACTCTCAATCACTCATGTCCCTTTCCATATCCCACCTCCGTACTGAACTTTCCTGTTCCTAATTCTGATTTCTCTTGACTCCTACAACACAAAATCTACAGCACAGATAGTGCTACACAAAATCATCTTCACTTCTTACCTGCAGACTACTTTATAGCCTTACAAGTGCTCACAGGTATTGTCCTTTGCCATTCATGCCAATTCACTAAGAGGAGTGGGGCAGTATCACTATCCCCATTTTACAGATAAGAACACTGAAGTTCCAAGAAGTTACATGACTTACTCAAGGTAGCCTAGCTATGATAAGAATACAGCCTTTCAGACGATATACGATAGAATGAATGTAAAACTAATGTTCTCCTATGTAAACTGTCACATAATTCACAATAGATCATATAAGAAAAAAAAAAGAATACAGCCTTTCACCTTGGTCAATTGTTTTAACATAGTCCACAAAGACAATGTTCTACATCCTGCTTGGGTAAGTAGCGTCTATGAGGTGCAGCTACTGGTCTCTCTATGTGCAGAAGAAAGCAGAATGATAAGAATCAAAGAGGCTTGAAATCCATTAATGCAATGGGCTAATGGAACATGTGAACATCAGTCTCCATGACTCTGAGACCAAAAGAACTAGATGGCACCCAGCTACCACAAAAACTGACCTGAAAGGGCTCACAGTAGAGGATTCTAGGCAGCGTGGAAGAAAATTGGAACAAAACTCAAAATTATTTCATTAAAAAATAAACAGACCGGGCTTACTGGTCAGAAACAGACTGGAGGAAGCTGAGACTATGGTCCTGGACCACCCTTCAGGTCTGGAAAGGAACTCCCCCTTGTGGCCCAACTTTCAGCCAAGTAGTAGACAGGCTTACAGGGAGTGAACAACTACTAAGGTATGCTCAACACAATGTGGTCAATCATTCAAAAGCAAAAGGGCAACATGTTCCTAAGGACATAGTTGAGAAGGGACAGGAAGGTGGGGAGAAGTGGGATAACTGTTGTTGCATGGAGGGGACTGTAGTCATTGAGATGAAACAAAGTGTGTGATTTGTTGGATGCAAACCTGATGATCATGTCTGTAAACCTTCGACCATTTCACACAATTCTCAATAAAAATATTAAACTTAAAAAAAAAAAACAAAAAAAAAACCAAAAACTCAATGCTCTTGATCTTTAGTTCAGAATGCTTCACCTTACTGCCTTTTTAAAAAAGAAATTAAAACTTCACAGTCTTCCAAAAGTAAGCTGATTCTAACTCACAGTGACCCTAGAACAAAGCTGTCATTGTTGTTGTTGTTAAGTGCTGCTGTCCAGTCGTTTCCGACTCATAGCAACCCTGTATACAGTTTCCAAGGAGTGGCTGGTAAGTTTGAAGTGCTGACCTTGAGGTTCAAATTGACCTTGTGGTCCAGTGATTTAACCTAGAACTACCTTATAGGGTTTCCAAGGCTATAGCTCTTCACAGACGCACACTACCACATCTTTCTCCTGTGGAGAGGCTGGAAGGTTAAACTGCTGACCTTCTGATGACCAGGCGAGCACTTTAACCACTGTGCCACCAGCATTCTTGTGTTAGCCTTCTTGTTAAGTGCCTTTGAGTTGGTCCCAACTCATAGCAGCCCTGTATAAGGTTTCTAAGGAACTGGTGGGTTTGAACTGCTGACCTTGAGGTTCAAAGTCTAGTGCTGACCCTACAGCACCTCACCAGGAGTCTATGTTAGCCTTATCTCCTTAATAACTGTTGACTGTGAGAACAAAACTCAACTTCGAAACATCTGTTTTCAGTTCAAACCTAATATTTAAAGCATATAGTTAGGTGCTTTAGGGTCTTGCTACTCAAAGTGTGGTCCTCAGACCAGCTGGGAATCTGTTGAAACCCGTTCAGAATCTTGGGCCCAGCCCAGGGTCCCTGCAAATGGCTAACTTGTTCTGCTGCTGATCTAAAGGCTAAAGTTTCAAGGGCACCTTGGTATTTGGTCTAGGATCTAGCTCCAAAAACTCAGCCACGGAAGCCTCCGTGGGACATAATTCTGCTCTGGCACACATGACGTGGTAATGAGTTGGGGTCAACTCAACAGCAACTGGTTTGGGAATCAACTCAATGACTCCCCAGACCTAATGAACACACATCTGAATTTTAACAAGACTCCAAGTGATTTACATGCATATTAAAGTTCGAGAAGCATTGTTTGCGGGATACAAAAACAAACACGACATACTTCCTAACCTCAGGGAGTCTATTGGTCCAACATGTGTGTGTGTGTGTGTGTGTGTGTGTGTGTGTGTGTGTGTGTGTGTGGCTTGAGTAGAGTTAGGATGCATCATGCAGGAATAGAAATCTGTGGGATTACAGCAGTGAGGTTAATTTGATTAGGGTTAAAGAAGGGCATCTTGGAGGTGGTGGTATTTAAGCAGGGCCTATAAAGGCTGCAGGAGGATTTGGTGAGCACAGGAGAGAAACTGTGGGGTGTGTTACAGACAGAGTCAGGAGAGGTAAGCTACTCATGGGACCTAAAGTAGTCACATGTAACTGAAGCACAGAGAGCATATGGCAATGAAGTGGTCATACTAACTGCAAGGGCAAGCCGGGCCCTGTGTGTCCACAGGGTAAAGACAACACTTAGGTTTAGAGCCAATGAGTGACGATGATAAAGCCTACATTTCTTCTTCCATGCTTTCACTCCCAGTCCAGACATGTAAGGGTTAGAACAATTAGATGGAATCTCAGGCCATTCTCCATGACCAAGCGATCGGAAATAATTACTCCTTTTAGGCAGCCTGGCACTGCAAGGAAGGTGTCATACAGATAAAGAGGTAGAGAGGACGCTAGAGTAACTCCCTGTTCAAATGTAAAGGAAACCCCATCTTGGACGCAGGCAGTAGGGACAAAATCCCTGCAGAAACTGGCTCCAGGCTGGGCACTGGTGGGCTTCACAAGTACTTATCCAAACCTTTGAAAACACAAATATTCACACACACATTATGCTTACAGCGAATGACACGCCTGTTGGCCTTTTAATCCATTTGGGAGGCTTTTTCGGGGAAGGTATCCACATTGCTTGGGCCACCTGCTCCGACATCTGCAATTGTGGCAAAGGCTGGCCTTGGTTGAAGGAAGAGGAGGTCTGGGGGTAAAAGGATACCTCTATCACCAGCCTGAAGCCGAGGCTTAACTAGAAACTTCACCTACAAAGTGCATTTTTAGAGGAGCCTCCAGGAAGGCCAGACTCGCATATTCCCAGGGATGGAGATGGGAATGAGAGGGGGAATGCAGCAGGTGACTCTTGGAGAACCTACCACATCCAAGATCTACAGTGAAATGTGACAGAAAAGGGTCTATGGAAGAGAGGGAGGCAAGACAGTTCATACTTCCAAAACAATGGTCCCAGCAAGGGGGTCAAGTGTCCCTAAAATACTGCAGGGAACATCCAAGACCAAGAGTCAAGGTGAAGGCCTTCTTTGTAGTGGTAGGAACTGACATCCTCCCAGGAGGGTAATCACTGGAACAAAGGCACAGCCTCCCAAACCCAGGGTTCCAGCCTCCCAGTCTCCAACAGCCTCCATCATCCCTTCCCAGGTCTTAGGTCCTTCTTCCTCTCAACCCCCAATGTCCAACAGAAAGTCCTTCACTTCCAGGATTCTCTACCAAGCCCTTCAAACCTTGTCAATCTGGCTCATCTGCTGGACATCCCAGCTTCTACCCATCAAAGAATACAAACTGATCCAGCCGTCAAAGGAGGCAGCAGAGAATATTGAAGGGTCTCGGGGGCACCACTGCACATCAAAGCACCAACTGCTCTGTGTGGGTAGCTTATATACCACCTAATATGAGGAAGCACACCATTAAGGATCATGCAGTCTGTGAAACCCAAAATACACAGCTGAAGCAAGAAACCTCCACCACCTCATTTCTCATTCCAACATTCGCACAGAAGGGCCAGCCTACCTCGCGGCTCCCCAGGTTCCAGCACAAGATCTGGTGATTCTTGGCGCTACTGAGCAACAGCTCAGTGTCAGCCTGGCTCCATGACACTGACAAGATCCCCCTAAAAAGGAAAGAACTACTATTTGTTGAATGCCTACTATGAGTAGGATGTCTTGTATACCTTAGATAAATTTCAGCCTTATAAACAAGTGGTCTGATGTTATTTGTTATTTTACAAGTGAGGAAAATAAGACTTTGGAGACTTAAGTGACTTTCAGACGATCCAAAGCCAGAAAATGGCACTAGGTGGGCCCTGAACTTGAGTAACCCCAGAGCCTGTGCACTGTACCACTCTACCTCACAGGGGTCACTGCCAAATTACCTCCTTCTTTTACCAGATTGTGGAGTGAGAGCTAAGAATCAATACGAATCAGATAAGCTCCCATCCCTTTGGATAAACCCTTTTCAACTGAAGTTTTGGAGTCCTGGTGTGGCGCTGTGGATTAATGTGCTGGGCTGCAAAGTTGGTTTGAACGACAAGGTCAGCAGTTCAAGCTTATGAGCTGCTCCTTGCAAACCCTATTCAGGGTCGTTATGGGTAGAAACCAACTTGATGGCACTTAATAACAACAACTGAGGTTTTGGTGTCCTGCTGTGGTGCTGTAGGATAAGCACTGGACTGCTAATCACAAGGTGGGCAGTTCAAACCCACCAGTTGTTACTTGGTTAGAAAGAAGATTGTGAGGCTGTTTCCTATGCAGTGAGTCTAAAAGCTAGTTTCAGACGAAGGGCTGTCTGCAGGACACATTAGAGCCAAGTTGTTCTTATTGAGCAGGAGACTTGGAGGAGATAGGTTCATGACCTAAGGAAATGACTATTATCGTCCAATTAGAGCCTGTCTCCAATATTTCTCATCATCTCTCGCTGCTCCCACTTCCAAAGGCAGATGAAATCCCAAGCTATTCAGCATAGGCTGTTCATCAGGCTGGCTTTGAAGGAAGGGAGGATGCTTGATAGTAAAAGTCTCTCACTCAGCTCAGTCATGTCCCACAGGATAGGGACGGGGAGTAAAATGCTACCTGCTGTGGTTCTCCAGCACCATCAGGGGTGAGGAGGCAAAACGCAAGTCCCACAGCTGGATCACTGGGAGACGATCATCCTCTGAGCACAGCACCAACTGGGTGGCTATGTCTGGATGCCAGGCCAGGCCTGAGCAGTGCATCTGTGAACGAAGCAAATCCCAATGGGTGATGTAACCTGACTTCCTCAGTTACGAACCTCTTCTGCCCTGTTAGAATGGGACCAGTCTGTGGCAGGTCTGTGTCTTCTTCTCTGTGACTGGCATCGGGGCACAGTGATGACCACAGTTAAGTAAGGGATGGTAGAAGCCTCCACATCAGCTGTGTTTGGCTTCCCTAAGCGCTCACTCTCAACAGGAAATCTATTAAAGGAGTTAATCCACATGCACAGCAGCTGAGAAAAGGGTAGCTCCAACAGCAGCCCTGAGAGTTCGGACCTCAAGCCCCATGTGGAGCTGTTAGGATAACTGCAGTATGCAAGGTTGGTTTGAACCACAAGGTAGACAGTTCAAACTTACCAACCGCTCCTTGGAAACCCAATATTGGGTTGCTGTGAGTGGAAACCGACTCGATGGCACTTAACAACAACAACAACTCACCGTGGTGCTGTGATCACTGACTTTGATGATTGGTTCATTCTTCCTGAGATCCCACACAACGGCCTTGCCACTGGGATGAGCAGAACACAGAATGTGTTGGACTTGCCGGTTCCACGAGAGTGCCCTGATGTCTTCTGGGGGCTGCTGAGGCAGGATGGGATGGAGAGGACAACCTGTCACCCCATGGACCAAGGGACATCACTGCTTCACTGCTCCCAACCAATCACAGAAAGCCCAAGAATAGACATGGGTTACCCAAACGCAGATCCTCTTAGGAAGCTAAGAGTTAAATTTTCCAGGAAGGAGCCTTAGGGTACTGGGGTAGAGGCTGAAGGAATTGAAGGCATGTATGGGCTTTACCTCTACCTCAAGATGCTCCTAAGAGGATAGAGTTATAGTAAAAACCAGCCCTCTCGTCTATGACAGAGAGGGAGAAAAAGATGAAAGACAGGAGGGGCACAGACAGCCACAACGCTCCAGAGAGAGAGTGAGGCAGAGAGAAGCCTATGTAACTCTCAGCGCACAAAGTGCTATCAAATGCGCACTCAACCTATCTCCCGATGCCGTAAGCATCAGACAGGGAAAGATAGGCACACTCAGAGGCAGAACTCACATCAAAGCCCCCACTACATGGGATAGTTAGTAGCTACATACAGAGAAATGACAACCTGCCCACCCACATATACACAAAAGGAACGATCTGGGTGTTCTACTCTTGTTCTCTCTCAGCTGTACCCAACTCTACCTGAGCTATACTATGATAAGTAGCGCTCTCCTTCCTTCCCCCAACGTCTTTGACTTTACTCCCAACAACCCCTAGGACTTGACCAGGAACCAGCGCCTGCTCTAGCTGGCAGCACCTATGTCCGTGGAGTTCTACTGCCCTCCAGTGGTAAAACCTGGAATTGCTGTGCCTAGGCCCAGCATTCAGACATCCCTCAGGAAAGTCAGCTGCATCGCATACTCCAACAGCAGCCTCACCTGTGACTTGGATCCTATCGTCATTGGCACACTCAGGTTATTCAAATCCCAGATGAAGATTTCAGAATCACTGGCTCCTGAGGCCAGGAGGTTGCCCTGCATGAAGAATAGGCCTTTGGAGACAACCATACCGGGAAGAGACGAGAGCAGGAAAGGGAGAGAGAGACCCACAGTTGGTACTATCCAAAGCCTCCCCTGTAACATCCTGGGATAGATTCAGAATTACAGACCAGTGGTCACTAGTGAATGCTTCCAATCAGTGCTGCTGCTCTGTGGTGTGGCCATGTTTGGGTAACGGACAAGTGTACCTGGAAAGGGTTAAAGTCGAGGGCTCGGACAGCTCTCTTATGCTTCTGTATCTGGGCAATCACAGGGTCCTTTCCTGAAGACAGGATGTGTGTCACATTGTATAGAGTAAGCATGCCATTGTCCCCGCCACCTGCGATAACCCCGGAACCTTCCAGAAGCCCATTGCCAAAGGTCCCCCAGATCAGCTTGTGAAACCTACAAAGAGAAGGAACTGGCATCAGCACCTACTTAGGTCACATCAGTAAGCAGAGGGTAGGCATCTTTATCAGCCTCTGGCATCACGCTAGCATCCCCAACCCTGTCCAGTGCCGCCTGACTCCTTATCCCCCAACAGCGAAGGGAGGCCTCCTCTGAAAGAATATTCAATTTCTGCCTCACCTGAAGGCTGGAGACCACTGCCTCTAAGGTGTGTAAGGGAGGGCTGGTGTTTTGTTTTGTTTTTTCTTTTTAAGTTAACATTATTGGGGTCAGAGACACCAGGTTCTGTGATAAATACTTCAAAAGCATTACTTCACTTAAGCCTCACAATTAAAATAGGCAGGTGATAACAGTAACAACTGATAACTTAGCGAATGCTCGCTCTGCACCAGGTACTAATCTAAGTGCTTTAGAAACACGAGGGCCTTTCAAAGAGTTTGTGGGAAATTCCCATTTTCTTTTCATTCTACTTATCCATGAGCTTTTTGAAGTGTCCCCAGATTAGCTAATTTAATATTCAACAACCCCATGAAGTAAGCACTCTGATCTCTATTTTCAATTGAGGACAGTGTGGTACAGAGAAGTTATGGAAGTTCTGTACAGAGACAGCTATTGATTTCATCCTGTTTGACAGCTATGAAGTGGCAGAAGCCAGATTCAAAGCCAGGCCCATCTTATACCAGAGTCTGAGCTCTGAACTACTCTAACGCTGAGTCCTCCTAGAAGAAGACTTTCCTGTACCTGACGAAAAAAAAGCAGGCTCGCTAGGCCAGCAACTGCTGCTCTCTCTTCACTCTCAAACTGGAAGGGAGAACAGACCTAAAGGCCTGGCCCATGGGAGCTGCCACATGGCTGCAAGGGAGAGAGAGGCACAAAGGATAAATGGCCCATCTGGGAAATCCTTTGCTGGCATCCGGAGGATGTTTCCAATAAGGCACTGCCAGGGTCTTACACAAAAGAAAACAGCTAACCTTGGACCACCTGCAAACAAGTTTGGGTCATCTAAAAAGTCCCCAGGGAAGACATGTGAGCTCCCTGGAGCCTCGTAGGTGGTCTGTCTTCCACTTCACAGTCCTTCAGAGAAACCAGATTTCATATGGGATAATGTCACAAGATCCCTTACTGCAAGTTCAAGAAGCAATGGAATGTTCCCACATGCTGGAAAACAGTCAACAGAGAAGCTGAGTGGGATGAGAGAGCAGGGGCCTGTTTGTCCAGCTGCTAAGCTGTGAAGAGCAGAGCACCGGTTCAGGCCAGGTCAGCAGAGCTGACACAGAGGATAACTAGAGCTACTGTTGGCCATGGTGTAGGCTGCGCTGTCTAAATTAACATGGTGGAAGAATGGGCTCCATCATCCAGCTAGAGCTCATGTGGGCTGAGGGCAAGTCAGCAGAGCAGCCCCAGAAGCCCACGTGGTCACACAGGAAGCAGAGGGGAGGATAACCTGTGATGTGATAGGAGACACTGCAGTGACCTTAGCATGGTCACAGCACATAACATGCAGATCAGAGTAGGAGGTACTTGACCCCAAGGGTTAGAGGAGATGGCATGGCTACTTCAGAGTGCCTGCCCTGTACAACACAGGGTGTGGCTAGATCATTGTCTTCCCAGTGGAGAGCACAGCCCCATTGATAAAACTTTATTAGGGACAGTGAAAGCTGACACCAGAATGTGGCAGGATGGGGAGCTTGTGGGTGAGTGGAATGCTGCTGACAGATAAGCAGGGAAGGAGACTTGATCAATGGGTTTGAGGAATGTCAATCACCTGTGCTCTGCAAACAAACAGGGAATGAGGGGATTGCAGTAGTCTGGGGTGTGCATAGGCATGTGGAAGTGTTGCATAGAGTGGGGGGGGCGGTTTGTTATGTGCTGGTGAGTTGGTTCCAACTCCTAGTGACCCTGTATCCGGTTCCTGAGGCTGTAAATCTTTGTGGGAGCAGAAAGTCTCATCTTTCTCCTACTGAGTGGCTGGTGAGCTCAAACCACCAATCTTGTGGTTTGCAGTCCAGTTTAGCCTACAGAGCCACCACATTCGTCATATAGTTGTTGTGTTGTGTCAAGCAGTTGAATCAGGTCCGACTTAACAGCGACACTATATAGGGTTTCTAGGAGTGGTTGGTGGGTTTGAACCACCAGCCTTGAGGTTAGCAGTCCAGTGTTTATCCAACAGCACCATACCAGGACTGGATAGTGTGGGTGGGACAAGGCAACGTTAACAATCAGTGAATCTAAGTGAGGGACCCACGGTATTCACTGTACTACACTACAGCTTTTCTGTCAGTTTGAGTTTTTCCAAAATAAGTTAAAAAAAGAAAAAATATCGTCCAAAAAAAGAATTAAGATTACGAAGAAGGTATAGGAAGAAGAGTTTGTATAGGAAGGTAGGAGCTTTCAAACTATAAGAATACAGGTGCTAAAGAGGTTCCTATGTTGACAGTGGCAATGATGAAGACCATAGGGCATCACAGAATGATGGGTGGCACCTGAAACCCCTACACAGACAGAGAATCTCCAGAACCAGTCCCTCAGCATTGACAGATGTATCAAGAACTCCCCAGGTGAGTCTAATGACATTGTATAGTTACATCAGACCCACAGACCAGCCTAGAACGAAGAGAGAGGTGGTGGAGTTTCATAAAGACAGAACCATCCCTAACAACTAGTTCACACTGCTTCTGCCAAAATGAAAGAAACAAGACTGAAGAAAACAAACTGCGAGATCAGGAGGTTGTGCCAATTAAACTAATCTGAGGTTCAGCTTTGTCTACTTTATGATTAGGTTTACTTGCTACATAAACTTTTCTATGGTTTATGCACTTCCTTGTTTGGGATTTTGCTTTTCTTTGCTTAATGAAATTCCTTTTGAAAAGTCAGTTTCATATTTGAGAACTAAAGTGAAAAAGAATGTGTCCACATCCAGACCAAAGAGCTGGGGAGATCTAAGATTCCTTAAAAGTCCAACAGAGTGGTGAAGGCAGTGCTCCAAGCTGAAGGATGAAGCGTGGAGCCATGACCATCAGAGAGGTGAACTATCTTCTGCTGAAGGAAGACCCACCATGTACCAGGTACTATCCTGAATTTGCAGTTGAGATGACAGGGCCAGAGAAGTTAAATAATGTGCCCTAGAGGGCAGTAAATGGCAGAGCTGAGGTGTAAATCCAGGTCAGCTACCAACAAAGCCCATGTTCTCGCTACTCTATGATCCAATGCCTCTAGAGCAACAAGTCTTGGGAGCAAGAAAACCAGGTGAGATACATAAACCAATTCTTTTCTGCCTGGTGTTACCCCTTACACAAGCACCCAAAGAAAGGTGAATGTGCTCCCCAAGTAGCTAGAACTGAGATAAAGATAAAGGTAGATCATGTACTATCACTATGTCTTTAAAAGATCGCTCACACAGAGGTTATTGAAGCCACTCTGAGACCTAGAACCTCAGAGTAGACCAGGGCTGGGGAGCCTTTTTTCTGCCAAATTTATAACATCATTCACGGGCCATACAAAATTAGCAAGTTAAAAATTAGTCTGCTATATTTGGTCAAAATTTTAATCAACTCACCCTAATGCAATGGACCAAAAATCAGTTTGAACTGCAAGGTCAGCAGTTCAAACCCACCAGCCACCTCCTCAAAAACCCTATGCAGGATCGCTATGGGTTGGAACTGACTCAACGGCACTTAACAACAACAACAACAATGTGATGGCTGGAACTGCGGTTGCCTTGGCAGGGCCAAGCCAAATGATTTCATGGGACTATGTGACCCTCTGGCTGGACATCCCCCACTCTGGTGTACACAGAAGGTAGTTGTTGTTAGTGCCATGGAGTCCGTTCTGACTCATTGTAACCCTGGGTGCAAGGCTGTAAATCTTTGCAGGAACAGCAAGTCTTATCTTTCTTCCCAGGAGCAACTGGTGGGCTCAAACCGCCGACCCTATGTTTTGCTGTCCAGTGCTTATCCTACAGAGCCACCTGCTGTAGAGTGCTGCAAATCACATGTTGACCTTTGCTCCTTGGGTTCTAACAGGCCCAGCAGATCTGGCCTCAGTCCAAAGATCAATGACAGAAACAATGTATTATTCTCTCAGAAACTTTTTCTCTTGAGTAAGATTCATCTAACAAACCAAACATTGCTTGCTTCAGTGCACACACTAATCAATATTGATTCTGATTGCATCTAGTGTCCTTTAAACATGGACTTCTTTCAGTATATTTATAGTGTGAGGCTGTCCCTTATCTACACCCAAATGTTCACAATCTTTCTTTTTTAGTGGAATATTTCTAGATAGAGAAAAGTTCCCTGATGCATCATGGATTGAGATGGCACTGCTGTTGCTCTTGTTAAGTGCTGTTGAGCTGGTTCTGACTCATAGTGACCCTGTCTAGGGTTTCCCAGGCTTTACATCTTCACAGGAGCAGAAAGAAAGCCTCATCCTTCTGCAGAATGGCTGGAGGGCTCAAACTGTGGATTTGTGGTTCACAGTCTAGTGCTTACCCTACAGAGCCACTGTACTCCCAAGATGGCATTATTATGTTAATAATGAAGAGACACAGGAAAGGGTCAAAAAAAAGATACAAAAAGGAAGGTGAATAAGCTAAAAAGTGAAAGAGGAAAGAACATAACAGTTCAGAAGGTCCTTTGAAGTCACCTTGTCTCTCTTCTTGATACAGAAATGAGAAAACCCCAAACCACTAATGTAATCCAAGTTAGCCAAAGCCACACAGTGTAATAGTCAAGCAGCTGTGCTCTCACTATATCATGCAGAACATCGCAGAGAAAAGGAAGAGAGGGAAGCAGAAAGCAAAGGATGGGAGACTCTTTAAAGATGGTTAATTTCAGTTCACAGTTTGATACTAACTTTTGAATGAATGATGAAACCCACGTTGGAATAGAAAGAAATGGGTATCTCAGACCCTGGCATGTCTAAGAAGATTTTCTCAGAAAAGTCCCACTGCACCTGTGTCAAAGATAAATTTTTAGATCTTGGAAAAGAGAATCTTTGACCACAGAGTGGTAGAAAAAGAAAGTAGAGATGAAACAGTGTTAGCTGTTTTACTTATTTTTGTCTTCACTTCCAAATATCTGCAGGTTAGACCAGGGGGATGAGGTGAAATTCACAACTCCTAAATTCAGAATCAACATTTCAAAAAGGGCACCTTTAACCTTGTTGGCTGCAAAACAGACTGTCACCCTTGAAAGATTAACTTGGTTGTACCTCACTGAAGTGTTGAATGTAAACACTCAGTTTGGGAGCCCTGAAATTTCTAATATCACTCATTCATTCCACAAATATTTATCACACACCTACCATATGCCAGGCACTGCTCTAGGTACTGGAGATACCGCAGTGGATAAAAGACAAAAATTTATACCCATGTGGATCTTAAAATTCAGTTTCAAGAACTATATTTCTCATCAGAATTGGAGGGAGACTCATGATACAACCTTGCTTGCTGAAAGCAAAGTGAACTTAAAATACTTACTGATAAAGATCAAGGGCCACAGCCTTCAGTATGGGTTGCATCTCAGTATAAAGGAAACAAAAATCCTTAGCACTGGACTAGTAAATAACATCATGATAAATAGAGAAAAGATTGAAGTTGTCAGAGACATCATTTTGCTCAGATCTACAATCAACACTCATGGAAGCAGCAGTCAAAAAAATCAAAGAATTTATTGCATGAGGTAAATCTGCTGTACAAGACCTCTTTAAAGTGTTCAGGAGCAAAGTTATGAGTTAAAGAACAAAGGTGCATCTGACTCAAGCCATGGTATTGTCTCATATGTACGTGAAAGTTGGACAATGAAGAAGGAAAAATCATAGAAGAATTGATGCATCTGAGTTACAGTGTTTGAGAAGACTGTAGAAAGTACCCTGGACTGCCAGAAGAACAAATCTGTGGATAGAAGTCAGCATGGCGAGACTTTGCACATATTATCAGGAGGGACCAGTCCCTGGAGAAGGACATCATGCTTGGTTATGTGTGAGGTAGACGCAGGACCAGGCACTGTTTTGTTCTGTTGTACACAGGATCGTTAATGCGTCCTTACCAACTCGATGGCGCTGAACAACATCAGACCTCTTTTAAATGCCTTGTTCCAACTCTATTTTAAAGTTATTCTGCAATGAGCAGACCCTAATGACTAAACAGGTAAACAACATGGGATCCCTCAAGAATCAGAGAATAATCTCTTTTTAGTTATCCCAGGACTAGCAGGAGGTCACACTACTAAAAAAGGGGACCTGGCATCAGGAACCTCAGTATTAGAGTTGGTACGATATAGTAGTTGAGAATTTAAACTCTGGGCATAGACTAACCTGCTTCAAATCTCAGATTTGCCGCTTCTTTTCTGTTTAACCTTGGGCTTAATGCTTAACCTCTCTGTGCCTCAGCTCCTTCAAAGGTAACATGATGATTATAATTAGATCCTACCTGGTACAGGAGTCCTGGTGTGGCGCTGTGGGTTAATGCAAAGTTGGCTTGAACCTCAAGGTTGGTGGTTCAAGCTCACCAGCCACTCCTCAGAAACCTTATATAGGGTCACTATGGGACAGAACCGACTCAACAGCACACAACAACAACAACCTGGTACAAGTGTGTGCAGATTGACTGAGGTCAGGCATGTAAATCTTAGCACAGGCCCTGGTACATTTTGAGCACTTGTTAAATGTGAACTATTATTTATGAAAGTGAGAGGACTTTTGCTCAAAAACAAAACAAAACAACAAAACAAAGAACCGTTTGCTTTTTTCTTACGAATCTACAGTGTGAAGCTGCAGCTTGGCTTGTTGAGGATAAGAGCTTTTGCTCACTGTCCCCTTCTCTTTGTCAAGGAGTATAATCATTGTTGAATTGACCCATCCCTGTCAGGGACTCTTTTGGAATGGATGTTTAGAGGTTCAGAATATGTCATCATGATTGGTAAAACCTTCAGTGCCTACTCTTCAGAGGGCACAGGTATTGGAAACACCAAAAGACATAAGAAACTACAAAATAGGAGATACATTCATAAAGTAACATATTCTAAACAGAAAGGTAGAAGTGGTGGTTTATTAAAGTTATTTAAAGTTAGGGGCTCAAGAAACAGAGAATGACAACTAAATTTTCATTATTAGATTAATTTGTGAAGAAGAAAAAGGAGGGTAGGTCTGTGTAGACAACTGATATATCACATGGACCAAGAACTGCACTAGGGGTTCACCAATCATCAGAGTGATACAATGAGACCAGTTACTTCTAAAGTGAGTGGACAAGATAATTCAACAAGGGTGAGCAAAAGATTTACATTTCTAATTTCAAAAAGGATAGAAATGGTACTTTATTAATAGAACTATACAGTAATACATGCATATTATTCATATTAAATACATAATCTGAGTATAGTTAATTTTACATTCTTCCTGATGGCATGAGAACTTGGAGACCCTTGCTCCAGACTGTAATCTCCACCTTTACAAAACCTATAAAAGAACATCTAAATAATGGAAAGAAGGTAATTTATGGAGCAGAGAGGCCTAGATTTAAACCCCAGCTTCTCAGAGTTTCAGTTCCCTCCTATATAAACTGGGAGCAGTGGTACTTATCTCTTAGGCTTGTTTTGAAGAATGAGTAAGATTAGACAGCACCCTCTTAGCACAGTGCCTGCCATGGAGATGTGTGGCTCAATGAACAAAAGTACTGAGCCCTGTAGGTCTGGTAGAGCCAGGAAATTCATGAGTATCCTATCAGTGCCTGACAGCAATGAGGAGAGGATCATTCGTTCTCCTCATTGGCAGAAAAGGGAAATATTGTGTAAGGCTGTTATCTTCACAAGAGCCAGGGGAGAAAACAGCCAACATCTCTGGGTTCAAGGAATGACCAGTCCACGTGGGTCCAGGCTTGTGTGAGGCGTTCTGCCTGACACTGCAGCTGCTTTCTGACCAGAAAGGTGGGGGGAGTTGTTTTTAAACTTCTTCTGCAAAGTAAACTCCAAGTTAACATCTCTACAACTTGGCAAAGTTTCTTCTCCTTGCCCTTGTCTCCCTTGAATGCCCTGAGAAGTCACATTCCTCCCAGAGTCCACATCAGAAGTCCAGACACAGTACCTGCTTGATGCAGAAAGGATTCCCTTGCATCTCAGGTCCAGAGAGGGGTCCTTGAAATCAACCTCAAAGATTTCCAATGTGCCATTTGTGCTAAAGGAGGCATCTAGCTGCTGGGCAGATGTTCCTAGGCATGGAAAAAGTCAGGAAGAGGTAGTATATGAACAACAATATGTGCATACATTTGGAGTATAAACGGATAGGGGTAGATGGGAGGATGAACAAGAAAAGACTGGGTATATATACTCTCAGCTGACAGGCCGGCTCACAGGCCATATAAGGCCTGTGAAATCATTTGATCTAGCCCAGCCAAGGCAACTGAAGTTCCAACCACCACATTCGTTGCTGTTAAATGCCATGGAGTTGTTTCCGTAGGGGTGAGTTAATTCAATGTTTGACCAAATGTAGCAGGCTGATTTTTAAGCTGATAATTTTGTATGGTCCACAAATGATGTTATAAATATTCAAACGGCCCTTGGCAGAAAAAAAAAAGGATCCCCACCTCTGTCTTAGATGGTAACTGAAGAAAACAAGAAAGCATAAGGTGTCTAGCCTTGAGTCGTATTCCAAGATTGCTCAGACGTACCCAAAACACCCAACATGCCTTTGCTTATGTTAGAAGCCATCTTTCACCTTTCTAAAGTGTTCTCAGATGCTCAACAGAAAATTCTGGATATTAAGTGTCACCTCACCTATGAACTTCCAGTAGATCCTACACCACAGTATCACCTTACCTGTGGCCAGTTGTACAGGGTACTGGCTAGCTGGGCTCCACACTTGGACAGCTGACCGTTCAAGTTCCTTCACCTTCATGATCTGTCCTGTATGTGGCAGAAAACTGACAATGGCCATGAGCCAATAGGAAACAGAAATAACTTAACAGCTAGATTTGGGGCGTATCTGTGGACACGTCAGGATCTGGCTTCTCTCGCTCCAGCTCAGGGTGACAAATACATGACTATTTGCAGGTGTGGCACTGGGGATTAATGCGCTGGGCTGCAAAGTTAGTTTGAACTGCAAGTTTGGCGGTTCAAGCTCACCAGCCACTCCTCGGAAACTATATAGGGTCGCTATAGTTCAGAACCAATTAGACGGCACTTAACAACAAAAACAACAAGCCCATTTACCTAATTACTAAAACCTGGTGTGGCACTGTAAGCTAAGCAAACTTACCAGTCACTCCTCTCGGAATCAACTCGATGGCACTTAACAACAATAAACACTTTAAACAAGCAGCCCTGGTAGTGTAATATTGGGCTGCTGAGCACAAGGTCAGTAGTTTGAAACCACCAGCTGCTCCTCAGGAAAAAGATGAGACTTTCTGCTTCCATAAAAATGCACAGCCTCTGAAACCCTATAGAGAGTCGTTATTAGTCTGACAACACATTCACAGCAGCAGTAATGCTTTAAACTCCTAAGGATTTTGAACCACAATCCTGATGGTGATGTTTGTTGTTGTTAAGTGGCATCGAGTTGCTTCTGACTCATAGCGACCATACGGTTCAAACCAGACTAGTGATCAGTGCATTAACCCACAGTGCCACACTGTTGTTGTTGTTGTTAAGTGCCATCGAGTCGGTTCCGACCCATAGCGACCCTGTACAGGGTTTCCGAGGGTGTAAATCTTTACGGGAGTAGAAAGCCTGATCTTTCTCCCGCGGAGCGGCTGGTAGTTTCGAACCGCTGACCTTAAGGTTCGCAGCCCGATTCATAACCACTACGCTACACTAGGACTCCCCAAATGGATTAACAGTCTCAAACATTTCCTTTTGACTTAAATATCAATCATATGCTGATGACCCAATATCAGCAACGCAAATCTCAACTCTGAGCTCCAAACTCTTATGTACAATTAATTGTCAAGTATTTCGCTTGCATATTGCAAAGACATCTAAAAATTAGTCTCTATAACATGGAATTCTCTATTCTACCATCTCCTCACTAATCTCTCCTTCCAATTTTCTTAATCTTGATAAGGGGAACCTCTATTCAACCAAATTTTCAAGTCCGAAAACTAAGAGGGACCCTTGATTGATCGTTCTTCCTCATTCCTTTTCAATGCTTGATTAAATCTTCCTGATTTTATCTTTAAATATCTCATAAACGTGTCTAGTTTTCTCTATGTCCACTAGCCATACTGTCAGCTTGTCATACTGTAGTGGTTTGTGTGTTGCTGGAATGCTGGACTCTATGCCACTTAGATGTTAAATGCCAACAGGGTACATCCATGGTGGACAGGGTTCAGCTGAGCTTTATGACCGAGTAGGAAGAAGAAGAGGCAGACTACATCAGAATGGTTAGTCCCAGAAATAGCAGTGGAAATACTGTCAGACAGCACCAGAATAGTGAATATTGAAACATGATGAATAACATTAGAATACTATCAGATATATGTAATGCTGAAAGATGAGCCCCCTCAGCCTGGAAGGCACTTAAAATATGACTGGGGTAGAGCTGTCTTCTCAAAGTAGAGTTTACTGTGATGATGTGAATGGAGTAAACCTTCATTTGCTGATGGGGCAAACTCAAAATGAGGAGAAACCGCTGTAAACATTCATTAATAATCGGAACATGGAATGTACAAAGTATGAATCTAGGAAAATTAGAAGTTGTCAAAAATGAAATGGAATGCATAAAGATCAATATCCTAGGCAGAGTCCTGGTGTGCTGCTATGGGCTAATGTGCTGGACTGCAAGGTCAATTTGAACTGCAAGGTCGGTGGTTCAAGCTCATCAGCCTCTCCTTGGGAACCTTATACAGGGTCGCTATGGGTTGGAACCAACTCGACGGCAGTTAACAACAACAACAAGTGAGCTGAAATGGACTGGCATTGGCCATTTTGAATCTGACAATCACATGGTTTACTCTGCCAGAAATAACAAATTGAAGAGGAGTGGCATCACATTCATCATCAAAAAGGACATTTCAAAATCTTTCTTGAAGTACAATACTGTCAACAGGGTACTATCCATACACCAACAAGCAAGACCAGTTAATAACACTATTATTCAAACATACACACTGACCACGAAAATCAGCGGTGATGAAACTGAAGAATTCTACCAACTTCTTCAATCTGGAATTGATCTAGCATGCAATCAAGATGTATTGATAATTACTGGTGATTGAAATGTAAAGATTGGAAACAAAGAGGAAGGATAAGTACTTGGAAAATATGGCTTTGGTGATAGAAACAATGCTGGAGATTGCATGATAGAATATTGCAAGACCAATGACTTATTCATTGCAAACACCTTTATCAAACAACATAAAAGACTTCACCACATGGAATACACAGAAATCAAATTGATTACATCTGTGAAACAAGATGGTGGAAAAGTTCCATATCATCAGCCAAAACACGGCCAGAGGCAGACTGTGGAACAGACCATGAATTGTTTACATCCAAGTTCAGGCTGAGGCTGAAGAAAATTAAAACAAATCCACAAGAGCCAAAATTTGACCTTGAACGTATCCCATTTGAATTTAGAAATCATCTGAAGGAAAGTTCTGATGCATTGGATATTCACTGGAACGAAAACCAGAGAATTGTAGGATTACATCAAGAACATCATACAGGAAGAAAGGAAAAGGTCATTAAGAAAAGAAGGAAAAGACCAAAATGGATGTCAGAAGAGACTCTGACATTTGCTTTCCAGTGTAGAGATGATAAAACAAATGGAAGAAATGAAGAAGTAATGAACAGGAAATTTCAAAAGGCAGCTTGAGAAGACAAAGTCAAGTATCATAATGAAATGTGCAAAGACCTGAAGTTAGAAACTCAAAAGGGAAGAACACCCTCAGCATTTCTAAAGCTGAAAGAATTGAAGAAATAATTCAAGTCTTGATTTGAAATATTGAAGGATTCTATAAGCAAAATCAAAAGCATCAAAAGAAGATGAAAGCAAGAAAAAAAAACAACAAAAAACAGTTGATGAAAGGAATATACAGAGTCATTGTACCAAGGGTTGGTATTCAACCATTTCAAAAGATAGCATACAATCAAGATCCAATGATACTGAAGGAAGAAGTCCAAGGTGAACTAAAGGCATTGGCAAAGAACAAGGCTCCGGGAACAAAGGGGACACTGAATGGTTTAAATCAGGAAACATGTGTGCCAGGGTTCTATTCTTTCACCATACTTAATCCATACACTGAGCAAATAATCTGAGAGTCTGGATTATATGAAGAAGACCGTGGTATCAAGATTGCAGGGAGACTCATTAACAACAGTTGATATGCAGATGATACAACCTTGCTTGCTGAAAATCAAGAGGACTTAATATGCTTACTGATGAAGATCAAAGGCCAGTCTTTAATATGGGCTGCACTTCAATATAAAGAAAAACAAAATTATCACCACTGGACCAATAAGTAACATTATGATAAATGGAGAAAAGTTTGAAGTTATGAAAGACTTCATTTTGCTTGGATCCACTATCAACAACACTCATGGAAGCAGCAATCAAGAAGTCAAATGTATTGCATTGGGCAAATCTGCTGTCAAGACCTCTTTAAAGTGTTCACTAAGGTGCGCCTGACCCAAGCCATATGTTTTCCATAGCCTCATATGTATGTGAAAGTTGTGCAATGAATAAGGAAGACCATACAAGTATTAATGCACTGGAGTTATGGTGTTGGAATATTAAAGTACCATGGACTACTAGAACAAAAAACAAATCTGTGTTGGAAGTGCAGTCAGAACGCTCCTTGGAAGCCAGGATGGTGAGACTTCATTTCTCACACTTCGGACATATTACTAGGAGGGTCCAGTTCCTGAAGAAAGATATCATGCTTGGTAAAGTGAAAAAGAGGGAACCCCCCAACGAGAAAGATTGGCACAGTGGCAGCAGCAATGGACTCAAGCTTGACAATGATTATGAGGATGGCACAGTACCAGGCAGTGTTTCACTCTGTTGTGCATAAGGTATATATGAGTCTGAACTGACTCAATGGTCCTTAGCAACAACAACAACTGCCCCCACCCTATCTGAAAATGCCATCACCTCTCACCTGGATTCTTACAAGTCTCTCAACTGGTTGTCTCCTGACTACTTCGCCATCCTCATTTGTCCTCTACATAACAGCAGGGATAAACTTTTACAATCAGAAATATGATTTTAGCATGCCAAAGCATCAATGTTTTCATTGACTTCTATCATACTCAGAATACTATTCAAACTCCTTCCCACGGCCTTGCCCAACAGCTCCAGCCTGCTGCTCTAGCCACATCGCTCACTACATTTCCCGTTATTCATTTTGCTCCAACCATATTAGCCATTTTTCATTTCCACGTTTTCTCTCACCTTGTTGTTGCTAAGTGCAATGGAGTCAGTTCTGACTCATAGCGACCCTTTATAGGGTTTCTGAGGAATGACTGGTGGTATGAACCCTTGTCCTTGTGGCTCAAACTGACCTTGCATTCAAGCACATTATCCTGCAGCACCACACCAGGACGCCCTTAGAGCTTTTGTAAATGCTCCCTATATTTATACCTAGTGTGGCACTGTAGGATCAGCACTGGGCTGCTAGCTACAAGGTCAGCAGTTCAAACCCACCAGCTGCTCCTTAGAACCCCTACACAGGGTCGTTATGAGTTGGAATCAACTGAACAGCACTTAACATCAACAAGAGCACACCTCCACCTAAAGGATCACTGGTGGCGCTGTGGGTTAGACATCAGGCTACTAACTGTAAAGTCAGTGGTTCAAACCTTGAGAGAAAGAGAAGCCTGTCTGCTCTTGTAAAAATTAGTCTAAAACACCTATATAGGGTAGGGTCACTGTGACTCAGAACCAGCTTGATGGCAGTG